GGAAAACAAATGATGTTTCAAACTAACCAGACCTGCTTTAAAATCCTATTTTGTGCTGGATGTCTCCAACAAAATAATTTTTGTCTTCAGCATAGAAAGTAAATGCTTCCAGTTTCATGTAATAGTGAAGACTTTAGTACTCAATGTTTATAAATTTATAATCCTATGTATAATCTTCAGCTATTCATCTGAAGACTTAGTAAGAGAAATACTGGCTTCTCCTCTAATTGCTGCTGAAGTAAGCAGCACTTTTCAAGGCAGGCCTATGTAGAAAGATTCCAAATCGTCATTTCAGCAGTAAAATCTTCTACCAATACTTTCTGCACAACAAAACAAGCAATTTGTACCCACAGACAGAGGAGGGCTTCATTCCTGGAAGGCTGCTCTGGTGCAATCCTTTCCATGGTAAAAGGCAAGGTCTGAACACCCATTCTCCACTATACTCAAAATAGATTCACAGTCTTTACATCTGTGAATATACACATACGTTATTTGCATTAGTAAAGCAGCCACAGCAACTTCTACAAATGTACCTGTCACATTGCAGAAGCATCTTTATAAGACAGTGAAACAGCAAAACAAGTGTAATGAACTGTCTTTGCTTATGACATGTGAAAGGAACCTGGCATTTCTAGAAAAATCTAATGCTGCTACAAAGAAAAAGCGTTCTAATAACTTTAACAGTCTCATCTGCTACGCATTAGACATCAAGCAGCACAGTATGAATATAAAGCTCCCCAGAATACTCCCAAGGCTGTGACAGCCACTGGCATGGCCCCTGTGGACATAAGCCAGGCTGTTGTCTCAGAATCCAGCGAATGAACTCCCATTGTTATTTTTTTTAATCACTGGAATCTAGTTAGCATCCAGGCTGGAATGCCAAGGTCACCGGGCACATTCCTGTGATAGAAACTTTCCTGAAGCTGGGAACCAGGGTTTGACAGCCTGCCTGGCCTGCTTCCTTACATTGACCCGGTATTTTAAACCCACTTTTCCCTTGACCAGGTTTCCAAGATTCAGTTAAACTCCTCAGCAACCTGACAGACATGAGCAACAGGCACACACACACAGTGACACAAAACAGCATTACCCATCTGCAAACATGACATTAATTTTACACAGAAGGAAGAAGCTCAGGAGAGCACCAGCCAGAGAGGAAAATGAAGTGCTTCCCAAATGCAGTGTTTGCACTTGTTTTTGCACTGAATGCCCTTAGCAAGGAGAATGCTTCTTTATATTGATGAAAGCAGGATTCTCCATGAAGCATTAAACTCCCATGGCAGGGAAATGGTCCTCTAAGCTAATAAAAATGGCTGAAGAAAGCAAATCACTCAGCTCCTCTCCCGTTACAGATTTCTGTTCCCAAACATCCTCCTTTGGGGACTGTGGAGACCCGCTAGCTAATTTTGTGGACAGGATGGCTTCTAGGCTTGTCTCTGATCTGCAGATGATGTTATTATTTCTTCATAATTGTTTACTGTATAAAGTCAACATCTTTCTCTCCAGAGGGAGATTGCCCAGAATCACTCATGAAAGCCTTTTAGGTCCCCAGCTGTGGGCCTGCTGGTCCTGACAACACACTTTTGTCAAGGTTAATGTCATGTCAAGGCACTACTAGTAGCTTCTTTGCTTGTGCAGCTATTCTTTCAACTGTAAGAACAGTAATGCAATTTAAAGTCACTTCTAGAGCATTCTTGGTTGGCCTTTAGGGTTACTGCAATTACACAAACAGAAGTTTTAAGCTTTCTGAGAGTACTGTGGGAGTAACTGCAAATGTGGGGAAAAAGTAGATTTTGGTTTGTGCTCTGAAAGCACAATCACCTCCACATTCAGTCCTGGCTGACAGATGGGCTCTGCCCATGACCTCTGTCATGCCACCTGAGTTTCATACTGCAACCTTCCTATTGCATCTCCAGCTGCAACAGTGAGATGCTTTTTATCAGCTTCATGAGGATTTTGTAGTTTGATATCCATGAAGAGAATTGCAAGCCTTTTTATGCTAGTGCTAAATGCAAAACTTCCCTGCATCTTGGAGAACAGAGTCCCAACAGAGAACCCTCTGAGCACACAGAAAGAGAAGACACAGCTCTTACTTTATTACAAAGCAAGTGATTTCAGAATATTCTTGTTAACTGTCTTGCAACCATCATTGATAATCCCCTGGGCAGAGCTGGAGGCAGCAAGGTTTGATTGTCAACAGTTGTTTTGTTAACTGGTTTAGTGATAGCAAGGCAGAAAAGTACCTGGCTATGGTGGTGCCCGGGGCAAGACGCTCCTCTGTGTTATCTGAATACCAGTCAGGCTTATGTAACAGATTAAATAATAATAAAATCAATCTCTGTTACTCGTTTTACAGGTATGATCTTAGAAGTGTACCCATGCTGCTTCAAGGTCTCACTGGGACTTGATCAGCTTTATTCTTATGTGATCTCCCTTCCCCAAGGGCCACTGCTGGCCACCTAGTTCCCTACATTCAATAGAGCCAAAATGCTGTATTTTTCTTGACAAACATTTGGAAGCTCTAATTGTCTCCCTTGGTTTCTATGACAACCACAGCAACATAAACAGCCTTGCTGGCAGCCACAGGAGACTGAAATCTCTGTTCTCTCTCCTCCACAGAACTTCTCAATGTAGAACATACCGTAATCAAATAAAAATTATTAACAATAAACACAGAGGTGGTGTCTAGTACACCAGGCTGGCACTAGGAAAACTTCCTGCAAATAAAAATGCATCACAGTATTATATGATATCTGTCAAAACGTTGTCTGTTACATCAGTGCTATCAAAGTACCTTGGAACGAACTGTGAAGAACAGTGCAAAGCTATAAATACATAAACAAGAAGGCTTTCCATGTCAGCTTGCATGGCTGCATAGAGTCCTAAAAAAATATGACAAGGGTATTTCTGTTGGTGTCTCCACGCACCTCTCAACTTGTTGGTGGGTTACACATCAGGAATAGATAAGCCCTGAGCAAAGATCAGGGCAAGTGGGGTTAAGACACTTGCAGAGCTATGTTGCTGCATGCATATGGTGTGATGTGACTGCAGGCACCTCTCCACAGGGCAGATCTGAGATTTCCAGCAGGAAAATCATGAACAAAATGTGACTGCAGCAGCAGCAAAATGCTCGGCATGGCACTTACAATCCAAGCCCAGCACAAGCTCTTTGATCCTCCTGCATCAGTCAAGGTAGTCAGAGCTGCTGCTTTTGCTAACACTCAGGCCAGCTGAGGTCCAGTGAATCCCAAAGAAATAGCTCAGGTCATTCTTCCCTCCTGAGCCAAATAAATTGGCCACATGAGGCCAATGTAACTCTGGAAGTTTTAAGCCATTTAAACTCTTTCAGCCAATACTGGATGGCATGAAGCCAGCTGAACAAACTGGAGTTACAAAGAGACTGCATGTGATAATTACAGTTATCAGCTGTCCATAGATCACAAAATCATCTTTCACATTATTAAACCAGCTTCTGATTGTAAAAATGCCATTGTAAAAGTTAACATCAAAGTTAAGAAGAAAAATAATTAAAAAGCCCAAACCACCACATGAACCTTTGCCTATTTCCCAAGTATGTTGATGCATTATGGCATAGATGAATTATGGCCAGGAGGTTTTATCAACAGTAATTACACATTTTATCAGTAGTAATTATATAATTCTCTTGTGGCACTGAACCATTCTAAACTCCAATCCAAGCCCTAAGCATTATTAAAATATTGAAAAAGTCTTATAGGACATTGTTTCAACTCCTAAAGCCATTCCTTAAGCATAGTCAACACTTAAGAAAACTCGATAGTTGCTGTAATTTCCCAAGGAATCTTTGTCCTGCCTAAGAGATGTGATGTACTTTGCAGCTGCACTGGGGCTTTTCTATGAATGCACACATTTTTACACAAGTGCAATGTATGGCATGATGCTGCTTTTAAGCACAGAACACAGAAGTCTGTGGTCACAAACCACACTTTTGATTATTTGAATTTTTTAGATTTTTATAATTTTAGGTTAGTCAGCTGAGCAACTTGGTTTCTTTAGCAGGCCTGTATTAAAAGTGCCATTTATAGTATTTCAAAAGAAAATTACTTCAGAGGGCTTTAAGTGAATACCTAGGGAATACACTCCACAAATGAATGAAGACATGAGGGAAAATTCATTTTCCTAGTTGCTGGTGTACTTTTGCCACACTTTCTAAGTGGCAGACTCCATCAAACTAGCTGCACATATCAAGGTCAAGGATGTTACTTGGAATAGTTAGAATGTAATTGCCCATTTTTTTATAACACCAAGTTATTTTTTCTTCCAGAACATCCTAAGAGTAACATTTTGGCTAAAAGCAAAATTGTTTGCAATAGCATATAATACACAGTCAGTAGAGTACAAGACCAGAAAACCTTGAAAAGTGACCTACCTGCCCCATGCAGCTTTCATTGTAGAATCTTTATCAACAGGAATACATGATGACTCAACAACACTCGAGTTACTAAGTTTGTAGCAGAGACCACAGTCTGGATCTAACATACATCCATTACAGTAACTGAAAGAGAAATAAATATATATTTAAGCAACACTTTATTCATTTGTACATGTCAAAAACAATAGCATCTCCTAATCAATCCTGGGATGCACATAGTCAAATTGTCAGCATGGAAACAAGATAACAGACACTGCCCAAAACCTAATGCAGATTGCTTTTGCCTTCTTCTGTACCACAGTTTGGTGGCACAGTTGCAAATCTCCCAGTGACACCTGATGGAATGAATTTACATGGGAGGGGGAAAGACAGATGGGGGTTGAAAAGAAAGAATCGTACAGCATGCCTAATAACCAAACTCAGATTTAGGTACATACAGATTTGGGAGTCAGTCTGAGACCACAATACTGTGTCACCATGTGGGATATTGGCACCTGAGTTTCCATTATGTTCCATGGATGGAGCCAATATATCAATGGAACTAACTCACACAGAGGCATCTAGTGCCCCAACACACTCCACCAGCCCTTCACCTGTCACTGCAGAGTGTGCAGTGCTCTTGCAGATCATTCCCATTCTTCACACTTGCCAGCTCTATACAGATACCTCTCATTTTCTTGGAAGTCTCAAAGAGCAAGAGATGCTTGTTTAGGCAAAGTTTCCTCCATGTAGTCTTGCAAGCTGTGCAAGTGCCTTGGCAGTACAACTGTTCTCCAGACTCCAATGCTTGTGCTTACCACATCCCCACTGACTGCTGGGAGCCTAGACACCAAGTGCTTGCCCTACTGAGACTTCACTTAGGTGTCAGTCTAAAACCTGCCCCGAGAACAAACTGAGTGGGATTGAGCACGTGAGCTATGAAGGTATTCCAAAACACTTCATGTGGTGCAAGTTACCTGAAAGCTTCTGGCACAACCTTCCCCAGCTCTTGCAAAGACTATTGCTAATGTGGTGAAATGACCCAGGTGTTTACCTCCCCAGCAGCCATCTCACATTCAGAGATACATTCTCATCAGTAAAGCACCTGATATATCCTAAGGGATAACTCTGGGAGTTAAAAATAGGAAAATGAAAAATCTAACTCTGGAAGTTTGAAATTAAAATTAAAACTTTGAAAATATAACATCTCAAAATATATAATTAAGGTTACCAAAATAGCTTCAACATATACCGCTGTGACAACAAAAACAAGGAAAGAATCCTTTCTGAGGGCTTATCTTTTTCATAACAATTACTTTGTGAAAGAAGAAATAATCTGCTTAAGCTACTATGCCATTAAGAGAAAAAGTGAATGTAACTGTAAAGCAAACTCTCCAGGAACTCTATCAGTAAAGTAGATTTTATGAATTTAAAAAGTCTGAAAGTACATGCTTAAAATCTAGTAATTCAAACTTTTCTTAGTATAATGTTTCCAAAAGAGTTATCACATGGTCAATTCTTAGGGTACTTGGCAAAAAAGAGGGCTGGGAAGTGTTAAAACCAATTTATTCATTTGCATATTCTTACTCTCCTAAGTTTCAGGAATTTGTGCTGTTAGCGTGTGCTTTCTAAATTATCAAATTACTGCAGAATTTTCATCACTACACTTTAGAAAAAAAAAACCCTTTCTCTTGCTTAACTGATAAGTCAAATTCAGATTTTAATAGCTTTTGGCTTTTTCAATATTAGGAAAGCTGCACTAAATCAGATATAAACTGCTGAAAACAGTTTTACAATGGAGATGAAATAAAACTTTCAGGTAGAAGTCAATCATCTAACTCTAGCAAACAGTTATTTTCTTGCAATTATCGATTATGAAAGGACAATCCCAATATTATCTTAGCGATACTTAGTTACATTTTGTTAATCAATATTGGGACAGCAATGGGCAGCAATCAAAACAGTTGACAGAATAGTATTTTTATAGATACCAAATGTGTTTAAGTATGTAGAAATAATATTAAAAATAGCTAACAAATTATACTATCTTCGAGGGAAAAGAATCCTATGTTAACTAACAGAATGCTGATACATGGTTTTCAAATTGTAGAACGTCTTCTACTCAAATTATGCTGGTTATCAAAGTATCTTTTAACAACATGAACTTCTGAAAAGACCCAGGGTGATAGCACATCCAGCATGGCAGCCTGACGCAGAAAGCAGCCACTCCCAAATACTACTTGCTATCAAGTGCAACAGTGGACTTTTAAGTCAACTCTGTGTGAATTACGTTAAATGTGAACACCATGTGCAAAATGTAAAACATTAAAGCAGCCTTCAGGTAACAATCCTCTCAAGAAAATTTCAGGATTGAAGATGCCTCTAGATTAATTATTTTTAGGTTTTAGCTCAAGCAGAAATATAGTCAAATACCCAACACCAGCCAGAAAATCAGCAGGACACCAGAATGCAGAGGAGTGACACTTAGACACAGCAATGAGTGTCATCTTTCTTGTGTTGTCAGCAGAGGACAGCATGGGGACAGATGTCTCCTTGTTCCCCACAATGTCCTCACAAAATCGATGCATGAGATGAATGACAGAACTGAATCCTGGGTTGTCTGTCTGTCCTACTGGGTTCTCTCCATGGGCAACTCCACACAACCTCGTATGGCGTTGGGTACCAGTAACTAGTCAGTTGGGAAGCAGAAGGTATCTTACTTATTCCTGCCTCTGCATCCATCAGTGCAGAAAAAACTCAGACAGTTTGATTACTGATTCCTGTGTCTGCCTACAGGGCTGTTAATGCAGCTGTTCCTCAGGCTTTATTGGGTATTCACAATTGATACTTCCAGTCAGCATCCAACATAATCAAGGCTGCTGGATTTCACTTCATGCCAGATGTCAGAGGTTATAGTTACTTGTAACGGATTAAATTATTTGAAGTTATTATTTTTCACAGCTTGGTTATCTTCCACAGCTTTCCTGAAGCTTGTCTTCCTGGCTGAAAGTTAAATAACAAATAGTAAAAAACCCTTTACCTTTGGGTTAGGATTTTCTGCTGTGAGCTAGAGATAGAGACAAGGCCAATTTATGTCAAAGGAAACACAGAAATTGAAACACAAGACTTAAAGCCCTTTGAGATCTAACTCCCAGCAGACTTAGAGTAGGAGGTTGCTGTTCAGACCATCTAGCATTCTTTTGTGCCCCTTTTATGACTGATAAAATTATTTTATGTTGATTTTGATAAGGCAAATAGTAATTGCTTTTCCCAAGATGAAGATCTGCTTTTTTTCCTTCAGAACTCCAATATATATGCATGTTACAAAGCAGGACCAGGGAGGTGATCCCGCACCTCTACTCAGCCTTGGTGAAGATGCACTTTGAGCACTGTGTGCAGTTCTGGGCACTGCACTATAGGAAGGACATTGAGGTGCTGGAGAGGGTGCAAAGAAGGGCAACTAAGCTGATTAGGGCTCTTATAAGGAGGGGATGAGGGAGCTGGGGCTGTTCAGCCTGGAGAAGAGATGGCTGAAGGGAGATCTCATTGCTCTCTACAACTCCCTGAAAGGAGGTTGTGGTGAAGTTGGTGTTGACTGTCTTATACAACTGTTTCGTAACAGTAAAGAAATATGTGTTTGTTAACAAAGACTAATGATCATTGAAGATACAGCATGAAATAAGAAAGGAAGCTGTTTTTTTAAAAGAAACAAAAAATAACAAAAATAGTCACAAGCTGAGGTGGTTTACTCTAAATTTCTCTATCAAAAAATAGAAATAAAATGCATAGTAGTATCAGACGTGCTCTTCTTCACTCTAGTCCCATGACTATTTGCTGAACAAAAACATTTAAACAATTTGAAATTGAGCATGTATTTTTACACACATGCTCACAGTGATACAGATAAACTAGGACACACAATATACCAGGAAAATAAATGCAGAATACTATACTTACTGAAATATAACTAGCTACTACAGATCTCCTTCTTGTCCTCAAATATACCTTCTTATCAGCCCTACCCAGATATACCCAACTATGTGTCAGCATGTAAATCTACAAAAACACTGATACTTCTTCAAATCTACCCCACAGATCAGTTTTGGCCTTGAAAGCTCTATATCAGAATACAGCAGGATGTCTATGTTAAGAGGGAAATTTGCATCAAATTATAATGGGAGATATGTTTCCTGTATTTTATCATGAAATATTTATATCCATTCTAAGGTTGTGAGCTCGTGTCTTGGAAACAGGTTTCTCTGTGAAGACCCATTTGAAAATTCTCAGGCAGTTTGTTTCTCAATCAGAGACTGTCAACTCCTCAAGACTGAAATACATGAGAGAGATTACTTGGTTTTGATGAAACAAGGCAGCATTACAGCAGAAAGTTTTTACAATGTGCCTAGTTCCCTCCCTGCTTACCAGCTGGGCTCCTAGGCAACCCAACAAGAAGGCAAGCATCTAGACTTCAAATGCTTCAGCCTATGTAGCAGACTAGCAATGACAAGAAATGTCAGTTTCTAGAAGCCTAGATTCTTTGTTGCTCAGTGGCATGACTACAAAACAGAAGTTTCAGTAGCTTGCCCCCCCCCAGTTTATTTGAAACTGCAATGGAATGGGGTTTTGTCTCATTGTCAGATGACATTTACTGACAAGCTGATGGACCAGGAGGAGACTAGATACCTCCTCATTCTGCCAACTCAATTAAGGCTTCCATGCTCTTATGTACTCTACATCTGACATATCAAATGGGAGTATGTGATGTCTACAAAGGCAGAAAGTACTAACTTCAAGGTCACTTGCTAGAAATTTCTTGCCAGCTTGAGCACCACCAGCTTTCAGGATGCTCTGCTCTGGAGCAGCCTGCTTGATTAACTTCTTCTTGAGGTTACAGGTTGATCCCAAAGGTCACATTCCTTCCTATTGCACAGAGAATTTAAAGTATATAGTTGAATTATTAATTGGCTAGTTGTGCACATTTTTCTTGATACCAAAATTACTATTTTTTGTCTTGTTAACACTGTAGTTTACTAGTTTCTAGTGCAATCTCTAAAAAGATTGAATAAAATCTCTGACCTGCTAAAGCAACCCTGCAGATGCCAAAGAAAAGTTCGTAATCGCTTCTTCCCCACTGCTTAGAATAC